GTACCGGAGCGCAGCCCTTGAATCGGGCTCACCTTTGCTTTCCCTCAAGGTCCAGCAGACCGATACTGCCCTTCTGGAGCCCCAGGAGGAGATGGCGATATGCAAATACTACGAAAAGCGGTTGCTGGACTTCTGCGCCGTCTTCAAGCCTGCCATGCCGAGATCCGTGGTGGTAAGCAGCAGTGCCTGCTCGATGTGACTTTGATCTGCTCACGGTCTGCGGTGTGATGACTGACAGAGCTGCAGGTTTTGCTCCCTCCGTGTCTCTTTTTCCTTCACTTGCTTGTCTTGTTCTGGAGAGCACGGATATATTTCAAGTTTTTTTGTCTTCCAGTGGTGCAGTCAGTGTTTCAGACCTCTTTTTATCTCTTTCTGTTTTCTGGGCAGTGCAGCCGTTTCAAAACCGGAGAGTTATTTCTCAACTTCATCTGTTTCTTGTGGCTGATACACTTGCATGGATGACTTTTAGCTGTTTTCTTTTCTCTCTCTTAAGCCAAGAGTAGAAACAAACCTGGTGATACATAGATTGATGATACAATAAAATGATCTCGGTGTACCTAAAAGAGGCAGTCCTAAAGTTGGGCTGTTGTCCAGTGGTTTCTCAAGCATTTCTGCTTGCCTGAGCACAAAGCAAGCTGGTTCAAGCGTCTGCAATGGCAGTAAACTAGCCTACAAAGGAAAAAAAAAAAAAAGTTTGAACTGTCTTATCTTGAACACAGAAGAGTGCATTTCAGAAGGCAGAGGGTGGGGACTTACAGCTGAAGCAGTGAATGAAATTGTGCTTCTTTTGTCACCTAGTCATTGAGTTGTATAACATACTTTGTGCTCTATCAGTCCTCCCTTTTTCTGACAGGTGTGAATAACAAAGATGATGAGTATCTTGTCTGAAGATGCGTTTGAAACATAGCAGTAGGCTGCTGTTACCATTACATGCTCTGTGGAGCCAGACCTTATATTTCAGAAGTGGCCCCTGTAGAGTATGTGTGCTGGATCAGACTCATCAAGTAATGATTTTGAAAAATACCTGCTTTCATGCCAGTGACATTCAGATCAGCTTGGAAATTTGGCATTAACTGCAGTACTTCTAGACATACACAGAAGCATTAATATTAAACATGTTGGGAAATGTACTGATCTAAAACGTCAGATGTCTTGGCTGGGATTACTCAAAACTTTCAGGATAATTTTTTCAGTCTTTAGTTTTTAAATTTCATTTAAATACCAGATTTTTCTCATGAAGATGCTGTAGGCTTTTTGAGCATTGTCTTCCTAAATATGTCTGAAAATGGAGGAAAAGATAACCAAGCTGCCATTTGGTAAGACTCTTGCAGGCATAAATGTATTAGACTTTGAAATATTTAATGAGTGGCATTGTGTGCGTCTGAGTGCCTTAGCGTATCCTGTATGTCTGTAGTATATATTCAAAGTTGCCTGTTCTGTTTTGTGATTTTATTTTTTTATTTTTGTTTTTTCTTAATCCAGTTTTGCTTCTATACTTACTTTCTCTTCCCTTTTTTTAATTTAGGGAACAGCTTGCATGTATTTCAAACGCTTTTACCTCAATAACTCAGTGATGGAGTATCATCCTCGGATAATAATGTGAGTTATCAACGCGTCTTGAGTTATTCTATTAAGTAGAACACTGGAGATATAATCTTTCTGTCTGTAAAGACCTGAAAAAATAAAAAAGGAAATCTAGGAGCTTAAATATGAGTAATGACAAAGTATGATCACTTTCCTTTTCCATTTGGAAAAGTTTGCTGTGTTCAGAACATGGTGTTTTGAAGATACAAATTTGCTGAACAGAACTGATAAAAAGATGGATGCTGCATATGCCAATTGTTTGCTTTTTTTCCCCTTCCTCAAGGCTAACATGTGCATTTTTGGCCTGTAAAGTAGATGAATTTAACGTGTCCAGTGCACAGTTTGTTGGTAACCTTCGAGAAAGCCCTCTTGGACAGGAAAAAGCTCTTGAGCAAATACTGGAATATGAACTCCTGCTTATTCAGCAACTGAACTTCCATCTTATCGTTCACAATCCATACAGGCCATTTGAGGGATTTCTAATTGATTTGAAGGTAGTATTGTTTTATATGCTGTATACTTATATATACTCATATATATGCTCATATATGGACCTGTTGGAGAGGGTGCAGAGGAGGGCAACGAAAATGATCCAAGGGCTGGAGCACCTCTCCTGTGAAAACAGGCTGAGAGAGTTGGGGTTGTTCAGCCTGGAGAAGAGGAGGCTTCGAGGTGACCTCATTGCAGCCTTCCAGTACCTGAAGGGGGCCTATATGAGAGATGGGGACAGACTTTTTAGCAGGGTCTGCTGTGACAGGACAAAGGGTAATGGTTTTAAGCTAAAAGAGGGTAGATTTAGACTTGACGTAAGGAAAAAAATTTTTACAATGAGGGTGGTGAAGCACTGGAACAGGTTGCCCGGAGAGGTGGTGGAAGCCCCATCCCTGGAGGCATTCAAGGTCAGGCTGGATGGGGCTCTGAGCAACCTGATCTAGTTGGAGATGTCCCTGCTCAGCGCAGGGGGGTTGAACTAGATGACCTCTAAAGGTCCCTTCCAGCCCAAATGATTCTATGAGTCTATGATACTCCATATACTGATATAATGTAAATCTGTCGTGGGTTATGTTAGAAAAGTTCTGAATTTTGAAAACTTTGGAAACTTTTGAAAACTTTCTGAATTTCCTTTTGTGCTTGTGATCTTAAAAGATCTAGTTTCTAAGTGATACACAAATATCTGAAAGGAAGTTGGTTTAGTTGTGGTCTTTAAGCATGTTAGATTATTTTTGGAGTAAGAAGATGACGTACTACTTTTTAGCTTTATAAAATATTGTTGAATTGTGTGTTCTGAGGTCATGAACCAGAAGATGAGGAACAGCTACTTACTTTCCTAAATACATATTTTTTTAGACTCGCTATCCAATGCTGGAAAATCCCGAAGTTTTGAGGAAAACAGCTGATGACTTCCTCAATCGAGTGGCTCTGACAGATGCCTATCTGCTCTTTACTCCCTCACAGATAGCTCTCACTGCTATATTGTCTAGTGGTTCAAGAGCAGGAATTAATATGGAAAGGTACTCTTTTCTTTTTCATTATAGGTATGATTTGTACAGTTTATTTGCTTCTTGTGTAAAATTGTGTTCTAGACGTTCTTAACCTGTAGATGTGTGTATTTACTGATAACAATTGTTAACACCCTGGTGTGTTCTTTAACTGTGTTTCAAAACTGCAATGGTACTGTTTTTTGTTGGTTTTTTGTTGGTTTTTTTTTTCCCCCTCATTTCCAAAAAGTAGGTGATAAATGCAATGAGTTGGTGTCTGGTTTTTATAGTCCTTTGGAAGAAGGAAAGAAAAATTAGAACAACATAGGATTTGCCCTAATCCAGCATGGGATTTTGTCTTTAATTAGGACAGTGTTGGTTTTTCAGACTCATCTTGAAGATTAGAGTGAAGAAAGTGGAAATATGGTAGAAATTAAGAGTATGAAAAACGTAAAGAATATCACTTAAAAAAAAGAAGTAAGATTTTTCAGGTATCTAAGGTTATAGAGTCAAATGAAATTACACTGAACAGACAGCTGTTAGGCATGCAGAAAGTAGTGCTGCATTTGGCTGCTACAGCTGTTCAATTTCCATGGAAATGGACTAATGATAAGGTGGTATTTTAAATCAATTCCTTCTTTCCTTTCTGTGGTCTAGCCACTGTTGTTTGCAAAGGCATTATCACTTGGCATTAGGTAAAGGCATTATCACTTTGATATCATTGCTGAAATGCAAAGTATACTTGGTTTGGTTCTTTTCAAGGACAAAACATACTCTTTTCTTCAGAAAAACAGCTACTTAAAGCAATTCCCTCAGTTGTATCTGGAATGTTTAAATTACATGGCGCTCCTTGTTAGCATTTTGCATCTAGAGTGTAACACCTGCAGGCACAAGGGCTGATGTGAAATGCAAACAGTTCTTTTTAAAGAAACTTTCCTTCCACCTCAGATCTCGCTAGTTCTAAAAGAATGGGACAGTGTGGAAGTATCCTCTACAGGGTTCACTGTCCTCTCAGAATGGTATAAAAACATTCAGGTGCTTATGATATCTTGAAACTTGTTGATCTCATTCCCAAATTTATATTCTGTACTACTTGCACCAAAATTCAGAAAAGCATGCTCACAAAAAGAACTAGAATAATTTGTAGATAGCATGTGAATCAAGATATGTGAGCTTTATCTTTGTATATTCGTGAAGACCTCAAGTCTTTGTCACCTGTCTGCACTATACAGTTGCTATAAATTGTTGTTTATTGTTTTACGTGGGTTTGAGCTGCTGGACTTGAGAGAAGCTGGTGATGCAGCTTGGGTCTTGTGTACCTGTGAGTAGGTGTGCCTGCAGAGGTGGGATGGAACATGGAAGGTTTGAAAACCTGTCAGTCCCGGGATGTCAGTATATAGGTCAGTCTTGAAAAAGTTAGATCTTCAGGAAAAAACAGGTGCCACTGTGCTCTGGCTGATAGGTGGCTCCAAATTAATCTTCACTTATGGTATCAGCACAAGGTTAAATAATACTCTTAAATTTGAGCTCTACAAGAGCAGTGATGCTCTAACAGAGCAGCTGTCAGCTTCATGGTGACTGGTGCCTCAGTCTGGAAGCTGGAACTGGTACAGCTCTGTATGTCTATGAGGTAATTTGAAGTAACCACAGAATGAACAGATTGATATACTTCGGAGTCTTTGAATTTTTGTAATTTATCCGTAAGTGTATTTCCCAGGAAGGGATAAAATTACTTGGTTGTGGTGGATCTTGGTGAGGATTGTTGCTCCTGTGTGTTGGGGTTTTACCCAGGTGGTGTGTGTATGTATTAATGTTCTTACTAAAAGGAAGTTTGAACCTCTGAGGGAAGAGAGGAAGGGACCCACAGACTCTTACAAGAGAGCATTTAGGATTTGCTTTAAGCTGTCAAAAGAAGCAGTCACATCTTGCAGACTTTGCTGTCTGTTGGTCTCTGTGAAGACTGCTCTTCTGTAGTATTTGCTTTTCCATCAGTCCTGCTGTGCAATAGTGTGATGTTAGTATGACACTTCGTAGAATCTTAAACGTAAGTTGACTTTGCAGGACTCACTTAGAAATGTTTAAATCTGCAGTGTTGGAACTTTGGTTCTTTACATGGCCAAGGAATACTTCTGTCATGTTCTAACTGAAGAAGAATGTTGCAAGTGACAGATGTGCTTTTTTATCACTTTATAGCACTTATATAACCATTGTTCTTACTAAGCCCAATCATAAAGCTCTAGCACATGTCAAGAATAAATAAAACACATTTTATTAACTAATGGTAGCTGCCACGACTAATTATGACACTAAGAACTTCATTCTTCCATGTTTTTTTTCAGTTATTTATCAGAAAGTCTTATGCTGAAAGAAAACGGAACATCCTTAGCCAAGCTACTGGATGGCATGAAAGGTAAGTAAACATTGGAAAAACATGACAAAAAGTATCTCTAAAGGAGGAAAACCAGCTTTTTCCAAACAACAAAAGCTTTAAGCAGAAGGCTGTGCTTCAAGTGGTTTTCTTCACCTGAGGGCATGCATAAGGTAAAACATGGGCAGTAGAATGAAGTACCTAGCATGTGGGTGCAAGGGGGGAAAACATCGGAACTTTCCTGTGATATGAACAAATGAAATTAAAAGGCAAAGGGCCTGATGCTCCTTAGAACATTAAGTGCTAGCAGTTGGCTCAAAAGTGAGAAATCTGTTTTGGGAACTAGATAATGCTTTTTGTAAGTCAGGATGAAGTGACTCTTTTCAGTTACTGTGTCTTAAAAATTACAGCTTCAGGGAAAAGCCTGCACATAAATACTACTACCACCAGAGGGTACCTTTTCTAACCTAAATGATAGGTATTAAGTGATATGCCAGGGTTTATACTTCCCCTCTGTTTTGCAGCCATAAAGATGTTTCAAAAGGTGTTGAGGTTTGCTAGTCTGAGGGGAAAAAAATATATATAAACACCAAGAATCCTAGCATGGTCTACCTAAGATAATGAGGAATGTAATACACTGATTATTATCTTTTTTCAATTAAATGAAAAGACTGGGATGTGAAATTTTCAATAAGTAAACAGTTATTTAATGCTCTAAGCTAGTGCATGCCCTTAAAATGGGAGAGTGGTAACATTAAAAATGCAGTCCTTTGACTAAGCTGACTAGTAGTGAATGCACCATACAAGTCACCAGAGTCTACAAATTCAATTTAAATTGAATTTATAAAACTTAAGATGCCTTGCCCTTTC